TGCGTGCCCCTCACCCTGGGTAAGGACCCCGCATCTCCCTGCCCTGCCACCGCGTCCCTGCGCGTCCGAGCTCCCGCTCCTCCTCCCCTCCTTCAGGCTGAACGTGGGAGAAGGTGAGCGATGAATCTGTCCCCTGCACGGGGTGTTGTGCTCCATCGGGGGGGAATTGGCAGGCTCTCTGCTGAAATTGCCGCCGTCAGCGATGCCTCTTGCGTCAAAAATGAGGAGGCCGGGTCAGCCAAGAGACTGTTGCAGTGCTTGCCTAGCCAGCACAGCCCGAAGCTCAACCGTAAATAGAGTTTGCAATGCGCTTTTTGTGTCCTGTTGAGCGGGGACCCAAAGCCAGAGTGGTTTGCGTCCCTCTGGAAAGCTTCGAGCTTGAGCGAGGGCCCGGCAGCGTGCTGCTTCACATGAGGCGCCATTTGGGCGCGCGTTCACGTTCCCAGCCGTCGTGGCTTGGCATGGCTGCAGGAAGCGAGGGTATAGAGTAACGAGGGGCAAATTCTCAGTTACAGCGTCCTCAGGAGTGACTCAAGCACTTATAAGCCCGGTCGAGGGTCCCGCTCCACGGGCTGCCCCAGCCAGCAGAGTCTGGACCACGTCTGGTCTTCCCATTTTTCCGAGGAGGGGAGAGAGGAAGCAACCTGCACCCGGGAGCCTCGGGTTTCTTTCAGGAACAAAGCCCTGGGGTGTATAAACAAGTGCAGGATGACTGCAAGGGGAGAAAAAACCACCTGGGAACAAACAAACTGAGCGCTGAGCCCCTCTTGCGGCGCGTTACACCCTCTTCCCTGTCCTGTTGCAGGTGGAGATCACACCATAACGTACCCCATCCTGCAGGCCGTGGCAGAAAAGTAAGTTGCTGACCTGGAGGCGTACGGTAAGGACGTGGGAAGGAGCCTTGGGGAAGCTCCTGGTTTGCTGTCCGTGGCGTAGGCAGGGCCGTCGCCCACGGGATGGGGACTAGCGTGGCCACCCTGTCTCGACCAGGCACGGTCCCGTGGGACTGGTGCACGTGGATGCTCACACCGACACCGGAGACGCAGCCCTGGGAGAGAAGATCTGCCACGGGACCCCGTTCCGGCGCTGCGTGGAGGAAGGGCTGCTGGACTGCAGCCGCGTGGTCCAGGTCGGCATCCGAGGCTCCTCCTACGAGCCCGATCCTTACAAGTACTGCCGGGACCAGGTAAGCTCAGCCGCAGGCACCTGCCGAGCGCTGCTTGCTTTCCCCACCATTAATATTCCCTTAGCTTCAGCTTTTTTCCCCCCGCTTTCCCAATCCCAGCGGTTTGGCCCGCCGGACAAGTGCTCCCGGCGCACGGAGCCGTTAGCTGAGTGGAGAATAAGAAAGTGGGGGCGAGCGGAGGGTGCCTCAAGGCGCGCCTCTGCGGCTTGGCCCTGGGATGAGGATTTATCCCGGCAGAAATCCCCCGTGGGCAGGGAACGCTCCGCTTTGCCCGCCGTTCTGAGCGCGTCTTGCCTGCGTGTCTGCGCGCCCGCAGGGTTTCCGGGTGGTGCCGGCTGAGGAGTGCTGGAGGAAGTCCCTGGTGCCGCTGATGAGGGAGGTGAGGGAGCAGATGGGGCACAAGCCGGTGTATATCAGTTTCGATATCGACGGACTAGACCCCGCATACGCCCCGGGCACTGGGACGCCGGAGATAGCCGGGCTCACGCCCGCGCAGGTAAGGGGGACGCGGCTTCGTTTCCCAGCAGGAAGGGGGTGCTTTTGCTCCCGTTAAAGGAGGTCGTGCCGCCAGCGCGGCAAAGCAAAAGGTTAGGGAGACCGGGGAGCATTTCGTAGCGGTGGGGAGGAAAGGAAACGTTGAAGTGATGTGATTTGGTCCGTATAGGCTGGGTTTCCTTAGCTGCACAAGGGGAAAGCAGAGCCCCGACCGCTCTGCTAGGTCAGACGTGTTTCTTGATCCCAAATCTGTTTTCTTCTTAGGCTTTGGAGATCATTCGTGGCTGCAAAGGCCTGAACGTAGTGGGATGCGACCTTGTAGAAGTTGCTCCGATGTACGATGTCTCCGGTGAGTCTAAAGACGGTTGAGAGCAAGACTGGTGCCTGGCGGGGGCGGGGGCCCGCCGTGGGTGAAGGCGGTTGGGCATTCATGGCTCGTGGTTTTTTTTTTTTTTTTATCTCCCCCTTTTTGCCTTTTCTCAGGTAACACAGCCCTCCTGGGGGCAAACCTGCTCTTCGAGATGCTCTGCGTCCTCCCCGGAGTGAAGACAGCGTGAGCGCAGCTCCCGCCTGCCCCAGGGGCGACGCGGCTCCGACCTCCGCCGAGGCTTTCCCTGTCCTGTTCCCCTCGCCCGGTTGCAGCGAACGCGGGCTTTGCAGTAAGGAATAAATGCCATTTGCTGCTAGAAAAGGTAATTTCAAGCTGAGAAACTGTAGGGAGCAAATGGGTTCGAACAGCCCGTTTCCTGGGAAAGGTAAAGATGAGGCTAATGGCGCTTCGCCTCTGCTTTCGCAGCTGGAATCGCTCGCCTGGCTCACGGGGGCTCATGGCAAAGCTGTCGCTGCTGAAAGGTTTCTCCCATTAAGACACAGCAGCGGGACAATGAGTGTGGAGGGAGGGAGGGCAGCCGAAGGCGGCCTGGGGCTCGTTCTGAGAGGAGGGGGAGATGTGGCTGAATTTGCTGCGGGGGGATAACGAGGCGACTCCTATGGCAGAGGCGGTTTAATTGCCCCTGGAATTGCCGAGCTGACGCGGAGGCGCGGTCGGTTTGTACATGGAAACACAGAGCCACCTCATCGCACATTAAAATAGTTTATTTTGGTTGCGAATCTGTAATCGTCTTAAAACAAATTGACATCAGTGCCTGTTCACACATACAAAAAAAAAAAAACAACCAAAAAAACCAAACAAAAATAAAAAAGACAAGTTTGCCAAATAAGTTAATCCCCCCCCGCCCCGGTATCAAAAGTGCAAAATATGTACCTAGTTTTCAGTCCTACTTCTCGGGCTGCGTTAGTGTACAAGTTCCTGGCAGGCTTTGGGCGATGGGCAGAGCGGAGGCAGGCCGCCTGCTGCTGCCCACCACGCTCGCTACAGGGAGGAATTTTTGGTACAACCTTTAGACCGGGGGCCCGTATCCCTTCGCTTCAGCTTCCGAGTGGTGCGCGATCGCTCGGATTTCACTCGAGGGCTGCGCTAGGACTGGATTTCCTCAATCTTTGGGTTACCGACCACCACGTGCGTAACTGAAGCGCAAGCGCGTTCCGCTGATGATGCGTTACGATACAGGATATGGGTCGAGCGCCGCTGGAGGCGGCGGGTTAGAAAATTATCGGGGGGTGATGGCTCACGACTGCTGGGCGAGGGCGGACAGACCTCGGGCATAAGCGGCCTCCGACCACGCTCTTCTACAAGAAAGCAAGCACCCGCTGCTCCACGACGGACACCAAAGCTAAGCGAGGGGTTTAGAACGGTTCAGTGTTTGCTTCAGCCCATGAAAGAAGGGTTTTTTTCCATAAAACGGCGACACAAGCAGAGTTAGTCTGACCTGGTTAAAAGCAGCGAAGGGTGGAGTTAGGGCTAAACAGGAGCTGTGCTCCCGTCCAGCCATGGCCGGCAAGGGTGGACCGCTGCAAGCACTCCTTAGACACAGCTCCATCTAAAAGGAGAGGCTACCTGTGCTAAACAGACAATTAAAACCAGGATTCCAGCGGGCGTGCGGCACACGAGCTGCACTTTGAAGGCCGTAAGGCCTTCTTAACTTGGGGCAGGGCTGAATTCCCCTGCTGTAGCACAACTAGGCACTTTTTTTTTTTTTTTAATGTGTCAAGGGTTTTCTCCTGGTTTCTGACCAGTTGAAGAGCCAGCAGAGACCCAGACAGTATTCTTTTCTGCTTTTGCAAACTTTTAAGAAGGTATGTGGAGCCTTCTGCTGGGCTACGACCTTATTCTAGCCACGTCCTGCCTGGCAAGCTGCGGGAAAAACACGAGCTCCGGCGATTGCTCCGGCCAAATGAAAATGAAGTCTAGCGGCATCAGGCCAACGTTTCGCTCCCGCTCTATTTCAGCGGTACGTGTGCGCCTCAGAGCTCTCTGGCAGGGAGAAGCCCTTGCCTTCCTGCATTCCCTCTACTCTGGTGCCTCATCCATGCAGCAGCACGAGCTCAGGCTCCGCTGAGCTAAAATTAAGTAACCTCACGTAGGGTCAGTTGGTAGCATCGCAGCCTTTATTTGGAAGTACGTGATACACGGCGTTGGAGATACCTGCGGCGGTCGAAGCACGCCGATCTGCTCCCAGGGCGGGGAGGAATGCAGCAAGCCGAGGGGTTGGGAGCAACTAGTTCGTGTAGGCAGTAAAATGACTTGAGCATTCCCGGATTTCGTACGGCAGATAGCTCGGAGATTGGCATAGTTATTCCTACTAACCGGCTGCTCCGCTAAGATGGTAACTAAGGCGGCAAGGGCCCAAGTGAGCTTTTAATTAACGGCATGAGCTCATCCAAGCGCTCTACCGACAGGTTCGGAGCCCTATGGCAACGGCCGCCCCGCTCAGCCCCCCGTGCTTTGGCAGTGCCGTAGCCCAAGGCTGACTCGGTGCCGCGCAGAGCAGGCGCAGCGAGCCCCAGCCCAGGCGACGGAGTCTGCCCCGGCGCAGCGAGAAGGAAGCATGAGCCCCGCAGGATTTGGGTCCCGGCCGCAAAGAGAAACGCCGCTGCTTCACTTTATCGCTTGAGGAGCGGAAGGCGGCCGGGAGCCTGCCGCTCGCCTTCCCTCCGCCTTACGAAGGCCACCCGTTCCCTGCCGCGGTGTTGGAAGCGGCTGCTGGAGCGCTGCTAGAGCAAAGCAATAAACCAAACCCTGCGCTTTACAACTGCTCTAGCTTCACACGGACCTACGAGTTCAAAAAGACCAAAAAAAAAAAAACAAAACCCCAATGCGAACAAACGAAAAAAACAACCAAGGCAGCAGCCTGCGTGTTGAGAAACAAAGGTTTGCGGCAAGAAGGAAACGGGCGAGAGGCTGAAACCGAGCATCTTAAACCCACACCTAAACCAAAAGGAGTTTCACACGTAAGCGGCGGTCTGAAGATACAGCACTTCTGGGGCAACGTTTCAAGAATACAATCATTGAAGAATTAGGTTCCTTGCTAGAAAGAAAGGTTGGCTTGTACTACAGATGTGAGGGTGTTTGAAAGGAGCCCGCACCGACTCCCTAGCAGCTAGGTAGAGTTTCTTTTACACATCTACTGGCTCATAGCAGCTCACGCCTACAATCTGAGGACACGGTTAAAGTTATGGCTCTAGGATACATCGTCTAAAATCGACAGAAGCAGAAAGGCCTCGGGGAAAAAAAAATCAATGTGACATTTAAATGGCTCAACACCTTTATGGTGTTTACAGCCGTGCAAAACCCCCTCCCTCCCCGGTTACGGTTTAGCCGGTGAAGCTGCACGTGGAACTACGACATGAGGAGCCGGGAACATGCAGATCGCCTACTAGCCTGCACCACGGGCGAGTCCCAGCTACGGGTTTGCTACGAGGGAGATGCTCCCGACCGTACTCTAGATCACTTACCACGGGGAAAGGCGCTAAGTACGACCGCCTGGTGGGAGGAGGGGCAGGGCCCGGGCGGGTCTGCAGGGTCTCGCCAGTGTTACACCATGCACCACGGGCTAAGCACACGGGGAAGGGGAGAGAGAACCACGACCCGACCACGTCGCCGGCCGCGTTCGGTCTGGACCGAGTCGCCGCGGCAGAGAAGTCATGGGATTTTTTTTTTTT